ATTTACAATTTCAATTAAGATGCTAGAGTTTTATTTTCAAATTAGTAAGAATATAAAATATGCAAATTTACTTTATATATGTTGTATATTTCAATTTTAATTTAATAAATATCCTACATGTAAATATTATGTAATTAGTGAATATTACTTTCATTTTTATAACATGTAACTATTGTAATGAGAAAAAAAATATTTTTTTGAATTTTTTAAACATATTATGTAATTAGTAAATAAGATAATTTAATTTCTTCTTCTTTGTGTGTGTGTGGAAGGCCTGTACTATAGACCGAGGGTGGTATGGAATATGATCAGTTCATTGTTAGAGAATTACCTATATTTTTTCTCTTTTTTCAGAATATACATCAATTCCAAACCAAATGGTATGGATAACACTTTTGAAAAAATGCTAAACTAGCTACTAAAATTTTCATTTCTTACAAATGAGGTTAAAGATTTTCAGACCAAAAATGGTCTAGAAATATTTTCAGTACACCTAACTTTTGTTGTTGCCAATTGAGGCCAACTATTTTCGTACTGAGAAGTTTTAATCAAAAGTCAGTCTTTTTGAAGATTTATAGAGACTAATTTTAGTCTAAAAATAAAATTATCCAGACCAATTTTTGGTTGGTCTGGAATTAAGATAGCTCACACCAGTTTTTCTGGGGCTAACTATTCAGACCATTTTTTTTTATCTGAATATCTTTTTTTAGATCAATTTGCGAATTTCCCAGATCAATTTACCGGTATGGAATTCTACTGTTTCCAGTTGTGCCCGCGCCAGAGTAAAATAGAGTTTTGGACATAAGTTTGATACAGAAAACATCAGGATGATACAGAAATTTGATGATACAGTTCTGACATTAGAGCCTAGATACAAATGACACAGATTTCTCCACAAACAACTCAACCATTACCAAGAGAAATGGTTCATTTGTCAGAATGTAACACTTCCATCCCTTGAGAGGCAGAAGAACATTGTGCATAAAAATCTGCAAACCCAATATTGGCTCTTTCAAGTTTCAACTGCTGTTCCAATATCAAGAATCAGTATTGGGTAGCCGAAAAAGAATAGAGTGCTCAGGTTTGTGTTCGCATTCATAGTCCAGATGAACAAATGCGCGCTCAACTTCTGGAATTTTCTCAATTTTTATCTGTAGGGTCTCTCCAATGGTGTGTGCTTCTTTTAAAGGTAATTCTTCAGGGAGTTCTATGTCTACCTGTATATGATGAAAAGAAATTATTATTGACTAGATCATTTTAGTGCCACAAAAAAAGAATCACACACAAAACTGACCTCAACGAAATAAAGAACGCCTAAGGTATAAGCACGGACAGTGTCGACTCGATTTACTTGGGGGTGCCTCATTACCAGATATGTTACTTTTTGCAAGAAATCAGGAGGAGCTGATTGTCCTACAAGTAACACTGCATCAAGAAAGAAGCCTCATCATGAAATCAAATGCAAATTTATGAATGGCAAAAGGCAAGCATACAGTAAT